TTTGCTTAACATTCTCAAACCGAACCACTGATGGTCCTTCTCTTTTCGAGTAGTTAAACATTGAAACATCGATTGACTGATCTTGGTTTTACTTAAGAATTTCATTCCTATATATTTGTAGGTCTAATGTGTAAGAGCTATTCTGAAAATGTTTGACTGCCATCCTCGTTTCTAACATTTCAGGTTTCATTCATTTCCCATGAATATGTCCTAAGATTGCCTATATTATTCATTTTCAGATAACTTTGACCATTAAAAAGGACGAAAAAACAGATCAAATGAACAGACCAAAATCCGTTACATTCGTTTTCTACATACCAAAAGGAACTTCAGTAAATCTGGCATCATTATCATTGACGTGCCCAAAGTCATCGGGCTCGAATAAACCACAATGTACTGTGAAACGTCTCCGTTTGAGCAAGGGAATCAATGTCAAGTTTAAAGATTTGTTTGCTTTAAATATCACTGACTTCAACTCGGTCCAACAGAATCGAATTCAAGTGAATCTCACAAAACTCGAAGCTACGGGTAAGAAAATTCTATTTTGCAACTGATTTTCAACATTTGATGACTTATGGAGTCATTTGAATTGATGCATGTGGATCGAAAGCAGTAAGGATGAATACGTGACTGATGAAAACGGTCATTATGGATGTGCTACAACACATGACATCAACGTAGCCAGACCAATAGATAGAAGTTGTATTTTTTCATATGGGAATTTAGTAATCTTCCAACGTTTTTTCTCGTTCCAGGGGAGTATTTTGGACATCGCTTTAATTCATCAGTTCAGAAAAACTGATTCAAAGAGTTTGTCTTTATTCCCCACAGCATCATCACTTTGCTTGTGAGTCCTTTAACAATAAGTCCAGCTAATTCAGGTTGTTGTTATACCTTATAATCAGATGAGAATGGAGATCAGATGGCGAATACGCTCAGTTTGGAATTCGAAGTGAGACCAACCCACTGCACAGAACTACAAACGGATGATTCTCTCATCGTGCATTTTGAAGGCAGATTTGATGCTTATTTACTTTCGGAACACATACAAATCACTGTGCGTAACGAAGGCCAACCGATCACTGATTTCGATTTGAAGATGCACATCAACACTACTGATGTATATCCAGCGTGAGTTTGGTGCGAATAGCTACCACGTTTTACCGGATTTGTTTCTTATCAGACTCTTTCCATCACATCAACGGTGTGCGCACATGGGTAAACAAATCTGTTTATGGAATGTTCCGGCTCATGCCGTCGCAAATATAAGGAGTAAAACTACTCAAGCCATTACAAAGAGGCCCCCGAGGACCGTCCAGCAAATCCCGTACTTTTCTGTTCGCAATTACCAGGAAGAGACTCCTTCTGACACAACTCAAATCTAGTCACAAAAACCACATTTATAAGAAATGTTGTAATTAGTGGTTAGAAGATACCTATCAATATACAAAACAGGATGACGATGTGAGGAAGGCTTGCTGTTTTACTGAACAGTGATATTATTATATGAAAGATTTTGGTAGGGAGGTAAGCATTTTGCTTGTGTAATCAGGATTGTGGTGCATCGGAATACTTTACAGCAAACTGAATGCGCATACACTCAGCTTCATACGAAATTCTAGCAACGAGTGGGGTTTTGCTTACCGAAACATAGAGTTAAAGGGTTATTTTTGGAGTTTTGAGCTTGGAACGGTCGTTTTCCAAACTCCAAATTCAGTTACGGTTTGATTTCTATTTTTGGCTTGATGGAAGGTAGTCAACGCAATTCTCCCATGGAAACGTGAGATTTTATGCAGCTTCCTGAGCGTAACTGTCGTTAGAATATTTTGTGGAATCCTTTGAGTCTCGTCTTCTACAACAACCTAATGCTCAGAAGTTTTGTACAATTGTTCGCGCATAGTTTTCCCAACGTCTTGCAAAATTCGGATCTAGATATCAACAACGTTAAAAAACAGAATCAGCTGGAGATGAATTACAGAATGAACTTGATAATTCCTTTCAGTTTAAAGACAGATACATAAAATTGTTTATCAAATTCACCACCAAAACATTTTACAAGTGTATGGTAATCCGACGGACATGTATTTATATATGCATACGTCATGTGATTTTGCCCGTGTTTGTAAACATAGTTCGACCAGTTGATTTCTGTGATGCATATTCCATTCAAATTGTTGTCGTATTCTGATTACCTAGCTTGTTACAGGTGGAGGATTACCTACGTCTGAGTACCATCTGAACTACTTTTTTCCATGGGAAATATTTTTAAAAGTCTTCAATACAAAACGTAATTCACTTATTTTACCCATCAAAGCGATATCGTGCAAATAAATGTGACGGTGAAGAATACAGAACTGTCTCAGTGTGAGTGCAAATTACTGATGTTGCATCTGCATGCTGGACCTTGGGTAACCGATGGAGAACTGATTGATGTGGGCAAACAAAATACAAAATTGGACAAAACGGAATCCCGACGAATGGAGATACTTGTAAGTATATCCGGTTCTGTTCTATGACCTCATCGACTCGTGCATTCTAGGCTTTTGCTCTATCTGACTGGTTCCGATTTATCACTCAGTGACCATGTAGAAATTTCGCAAACGATCCGTGTTCCTAACAACCGATCTTTTCGCATTTTATTCGTACACGGATAGTTCATGGTCCTGGGCACATACATACAGCTTTTTAGCATTTATAATTCTAACATGCATCATTTCATGGTAACCTGTTAAAATAAGCGCTATGTATGCAGAATTTCTCGACAAAAATCCCTAATCCATTTTATCTATCATTCCGCACAGATGCATGGCCTTAGTTAGAGAGATGATTGTCAGATGTAAAAGTCCTTGCAAAGTGAAAACAATCACCGGTTTCGACGGCTGAAACAATGGAGTAATGACACTTTACCCATGAAAACGATAGGAATATTGGGCCGTTGTGACACAGGCCAGATAGCATCTAGGTTGATTTTACAGATTTGTTCTGTCGCACGTTGATCCCGGATCTTTTGTTTTGTCTGTGATTGAAACGAAAAGTCTACGGAATGATTTTACATATACTAGAGCGTTGTTTATAAACGCTAAAGCATTCTACAACAGTGTGAATTTTCGATTATCTGAATTGCTATATAGTACGCGGCTTTTACAATAATTATCTTACGGGTTCGAAGGCACAAATTACTTTGATCGCTGTGCCTGGCTGTTCTAGTTTTTGAGTGAACTGTAGGAGATGGACCATGGATGCTTAAGGTAATCCAAATCTGTAAATTACGTGCACCGTAAAACAGTGACGTATATAGTTCACTTTATGGACCATCCGGCCACGATTTACAGGCCAGTCAATGAAGATCGAATTACCCATCACATGTGGTCGCAAGCCCACATGGGCATCGTCGAGCCTTGTCCATCAATGAACAAAAGGGCGGTCAGTTACACGAAACGGTTGGAAAAGGGTGACTAATAACAATCAGCATTTGACATGGATATGTGTGACAGTGTGAAACGAGTGGTTCAATTCAACAGACAAAAGAGAGAAGGCACAGGAAGGAAGGCGATGAATTGTGGCACGAATAACACAAAGTGTCATCTATAAGATGGCAAGAAATTTATTTGGGTGAAAAATAACACCGGTGAAGTCCCCGTGACGACTAGTGGATTTTTGAACGGTGAGACATAAAAAGCATAAGGTTGCGTAAGTTTAAACATCAGTCAGATTCCAGGAGGTCATCAAAAAGAAACGCGATAAGACCAGCAAGTGGTTTGAGCATGCCTGAAAGTTTGACATACATGAATACATTCGTGATACTCGTTAACGCTGTCATGTAAACAACGGCCGGCAAATGTGCATCAGTTTGGGAAGAACTACCAAACTAGATCATCTGCACTGGATTGGAGAATATGAGTGGAAGGAGCACCAAGAATAGAAGCGAACGAGGATATGTGTGAAAATTTCAATGTGTGAACTAAAGATGAAGGCAGTGACCTTTGTTTTGGTGTATCTTGTATTTAAAAATGCACGCTCTAAATAGTGTGCAAAATGCTGACGGAACATACTATTTTTCTGTTCCAGACAGATGATTTTGTCTCCATGGAAAAATGGAATTTCTCAGTCAACGTCAAATTTAAAGAACAGTTCGACTTTAGTGGATACGTTCGTCTTAGGATTTTATCCTTCACCTTGATGTTATATTGCCAGTTACAATTTCCAATTGATATTTATCCTTGGGCCACCGATCACACCATCGAAAATGTGGTTCTTCATTCAGAACGCAGTAAGCATTGTGACGTTTTCATTTCATACCTACGACTTTATGCAGCAGTATTATATATTCGCCACCTATTATCTGCTATACGATCGTCATAAAGTCATGATTTTAGTAATATTGAGGGTAATAAATGAATCACATCATAAACCGCTAGTGAATGAATTGCTGAAGTTTTCAATTGTCTACCAACATTGAATGAAGCATCAGCACTGAGGTGTAACTTTTGTCCTTAACGATCATCTGATTCCGCGCCGTCTATCAAGCACTCAAAACAAACGAACAGCGACCCAACAAATAACTGAACCTTGTGATGATAGCCCCAAATGTTCTTAGTTGCCTTAGTTATTGAGCACAATGCTTCGGAGGAATTCACTTACTCATTGGAAAAACTGTTTGATATTTTCTTGTCTCCCGATAGCTTGATACTTTATCAGTTCAGCTTCTTATTGAAGTATCCCTCTCAATTCTTATTCCAAATTAGACCAGTTCAATCAGCTGATTGATCAAACTCCAAGTGAAACTTGGAAGTGTCAAGTTCGAACATGGATGTCTACCTACCTCACAACAGATGCCGAGTCCGTGAAGACTACTGGGAAGGAACACATCGATAATTCAGCCTACAACCGCCGACATATAACAATACTTTTGGGCAAGACATGTGAACTGTACTATATCCGCATCAATTTAACGGATGTCAATGAAAAGTGGTTTTCTGGACATATCTCCGCCACTACAGATGGTCGGGCATTCTCGGATATCGAAGAGGTTTGTGTCGATGTTTGGAACAAGGATTTGTTATCTCCCAAATTGATTTTTAAAATGCTTATTCGTATCGCTTAAGTTTGTTCATTTTCTCCACGTGAATTTCAGAAATTATTGCAACCGACCGAATTCCGTAAGATAAGACAATCATACACCCAAACGGTAGTTGCAATTCAAACAGAAATAGATGGTGCAAGCACAAGTTCGTGCATTCTCTCCTCAACTTATTGAAAGTATGCGAAGATTAACGTCTTTCGAAATTGATTAATCCATATTATGGACTTCAGCTCAAACGAAAAATCGTTTTCCATTTGTGCCAATTTTCTAGTGTACCTTCACAGCAGACCACGGAAATTCATACACCTGTGTCTTTAAGAACCACTTCCGAGCACGAGGACTGAGAATTATACCAACAAAACCAGTGCTCAAACACAAAGTTACGCAATTTGGTGTTCATTTGTATGGCATAGCCTTCGGAAAAGATATTCACCAGTTTGGTAAGTTTAAAACTGCCGAATTAGTATTCAGGAATTAATGCAAATTTCTCTGTAACATAAATTGAAAGATTGCCCAAAGTTACTTTCAAAGTCTCGTATGATACCGTGATTTCTTGTGCTACTCTATGAAATTCACCAGTTTACTACAGAACAAGCTGAAAATGGTCCTGATGAAGAAATGCGGACTCACAGTGGAAAAGTAGGTGTTCCATAACTGTGAGTAGATTTTGAAGGACAATGATAAAATGTGCTTTTTTCAATAAGCAACCTAGTGAGGAAAGGTGAGTTTGCGCACCTCATATTGCACAATATCTATTTCTTCATTGATTGTTTAATTGATATTGAAACTGTTTTTCATTTTTTAGATCCTTGTATCAATCAGTACATATTTATACCAGAAGGAGCACCTATACTGCCAGAACAACTGACACTGTTCAATCGTTCTTATATCCATGTGAATGGCACATTGATTGTTTGCCATCCATTTCCAGAATTAGCTACATTTGCCTATCCGAAGATGAAATGTACGGGTTTAGTTATGGGACATTTCTTAAGATGGTTTGGTAAGTGGAATTCGGACCGTATACATAGGTTACCACAAACTGCACGGTTGTGATTTACCTGTCATTTCCATTGTAGATCTTGGTCCTATGGTCTCGCAGGTGATCACTTATCAAAAAGAAGACAAGCGGTACTTTGCTCTGGGACCTGAAAGGAACAGTATCGTGAGTACAAGGGATCTCACAGACAATTGGATTGGGATAACTATATCTGAGTATCGAAAATACACCGTTGGAAGACAGCATGAAAATGCCACCTATCTCCCGTGGGACGAGACGGACACGTTTAATAAAACGTTATCCGGCGAAAATTGCACAAACTTCCAAGCCGCCGAATGGAATGGTAAGCTTCCATTTTATATCTTGACAGCTTGATGGCCATGATGGAATGTTACTGTTTTGATTTATGAAACATGCATTGTATGAATTTTGACATAACTATCATGATATTTTGTTGTTGACAATAATTTACACATGATTCATCAAAATCTAGACACTTGTATCATGTCGAAAATTATTCAATATCCACTCTTCTGTTATAGTTTGCTGCGACGGTATTTATTACAAAAACAAGAAGGTTGCCGCTTGGACGAAGGCAACTGATCTGCCTCCTACTCCTTCCGAGTGAACAGATTTGACTATGACCAAATGTTCGCACTACCTAAGTGCACACACGATATTTATCTCCTTGTTGCTCTATTCTCTTTTCCAAAATCACCCGATTTTTGTCGTTTCATGTTGTGTTCGTGCTAACTTTATTTCCCTCACATCGGTATACACTCGATAAAATTGTGCACTTGAACACGTTGACTCTCATCGACGTATTTGTCTCACAATATAGCAGCTCAGTGTTTCTTACACAAGTGGCATATTTTGATCGATTTCCAGGTTTTTGAGCAGGCAATTTTCTTCCTTATTCATTGAAAGCGTTACTGTCATTCAAAATTTCTTTTCTTTCGCTTTGTTGACTTTCTTAATGTTTCATTCATCGATGTACAAACGATTGAAATAAAATCACTATATCTTCCTCTCTTCTCCATATCAACACGCACATATTTCTCGACTATGAAGCGAAATGTCGCATACGTAGTTGAAAGGAGTTAGTAGTAATAATCGATGGGAATTCCTGGTAACTACTTGATGCCACTTAGTTGTAGTCGTGTGAATGCCGAACCTTGCTGTATCCGGTGGATGAGCGCAGTCGTATGCATGTTATGGAGCAAGCCACGAGCTCATTCGCCCGATGCCAAACAAGACCTCTCAGAACAAATCAAGATCAATCAGAGCTGAAGTGTTTGGACCGGACAGAGAACATATCATTACTAGTAAAGCGTTACCTGTGATCCGCCGTTCTTCAATTCGATTCAATGAGAACACGAGCAGATAGAAGCAGCCCTTTCAGCTGGAAAACCTTCATTCTTCTGTTAATCGAATTTCCAGGCACATCTGTTTGTTGTTCAAAAATGGAATGTTATGAAAAATAAAGGAATGGTTGTCATGATCGCATACCAGTTTTCCACAATCCTTGGAATGCATCGAGCCCGACTGTGTATATCAATATGATCCTTTTAAACAACGATGTCAACGAATACATAGAAGCTATTTAATCCTCCATGTTCACTGTTTTGTGAATTTTCTCCAGCAAACTTTCAAAAGTCCATCTTATTCCAGAAAACATTAGGCTGAATCTGAAATGCAGAGGAAGTCAAACACGATTGATTTTCAGTCTACCAAAAGTACAGCTTATCATAATGATGGTCTGAAGACAACCACGAGGTTCTAAATGTTAGTTGGAAAATTAATAGAGAGGAGTTGAACTCGGCATTAGAAGCACTTGAGAGTTGTAGTATACTTATAGAGAAGCTACAATAAACTAGTTTAAACCTAAACAACGTTGTTCCGAAATAAGATTTCAGGACCAAGAGCATGGTCGACTGTACACTGAATCGACTACTGACTGAATTTAATATAATACCAATTCAAATCACAGAAACCGGCGAATAGGTTGTAACACAATAAATGGAACTAGAAATGGCATGTTCATGTGCCACTCCCATCATATCTACATTGTCAGAACAATGGGATAGATTATTGTGATGGCTGATATCACAGATGCGTTTCTGTGCATTCTCTTAATAAAACAACAAACTGTATCACTTCGGTGTGAATTGACGGTTCCGAACAAAGTACATTTTCCATAGTTCCACCCCCCCCCAGCAGCCCTCCCCCGCCCCCCTCCGAAAGCAACCCTGATTATTGAGTAATCATACCTGGGATGTTCACTTCTATTCCTCTGTTCTAATAGAGATAGCAGGCAAAAACATTTTTCGCGGAATCATGAGCAATTTGGTAGCCACTCCGCGTGATAATTCATAGGGCACAGTAATGACGTTTGAGGAATTCATGTGACGAACGCGTGGTTAATGATATGGACTTGTCTGATATAGCAAATTACCTGACACTAGGAGTTTGACTGTATTTGACTGTGTATCGCGGCTCCCATATAATACACAATGTGCGACCTCGCTCAAAACCTGCTCTGGCAAAATTGACTCACGCCTTCGGCTGTTCTTCTAGGTGACAGTATTATCTTGGACGAGAAACAGAAGAGTGGCACTGTTTTAAGTCATCCGCGTCTGGACGTTGTAGGATGTTCCCGACTCACTGAAATCGTCTGTGTCGAAGGACCATTAGTAGCTTTTTGAGACTAAGGCAAGGTTATCATTATGCGTCGTTTGTAAGCGCGTTGTGTCAAGCCACTTTCAGAATCCACTACAAATACCAGTCGTCAATACCTTCCACGATTATATTCTCTCTAACCCGCAGTAGCCACGTTTCGCAGCCATGGGTCAGTATTTTACTGATAGTGGCTCTCAAAACTCGGGCATTAGTTCGAAGATTGGTTCCGTTACTTGCTAAGAGTGCACTGAAAAACTGGAGAAAAGCAGTCCTGCCATTGTCAATGCTTAACTGGAGTTTGTTTTTTGGACCAACCTTTTGGGGGGACGGTGGAGACCATATTTCTGACGACTGAGACATACTGGATTTTCCCGCTTACCTTGTGTATCACCTCTGTGATATCACCTTGACTTGAAGGTTGCTACTAACGTCGCATTGTTCGCTGTGGATTCATGAGATTCGGTTCACGGAGTCTACTGCTGAACGATTCAGTAGACGTCCAAAGTATTTTTGTGTCTTTTATGCCGGCTCAGGGATGAGGAGCTCGGCAGTCAATCGATGGAGGGATTCTGCTGACAGTTAATTACTGAATGTAGTACAAATTAATTGAAAGGATTTTGAGAAATTGCTGGAGTAAGCCGCAGTCTCCATAGTTCCCATGAGCTTGGTTCACTAATTGCTGCGGCAACTTCCGGCCAAAACAGGGCTTTTCATTGGATGTTGCTGCTCAAAACCAAAATTTATCTAGTTGTCTGTGTGGAGGTACCAGTTCGAAAGTTCCAGATTCCATCTATGAGAGGAATGCCATTTTGTCCTGTCGTAGAAACCGCTTTTTGTCGTTTTTTCGTCTGCAGCTGCCTGAGAATAGAGAGCGACAGCCGATATGTTCAAGGATGAGGTGAGAAAAAAATGTACGGTTATCCCAGGGGATATCGGATTCCATGTGAGCAGTTTCTTGTTACCCTTTTCTCTAACAGCTGTCAAGGTGCTTGGGAAATCACATTTTTGCTTTAGTCCACTGTCACAGAGATGGTAACGTTCCTGTGCTCCGAGAACATATAAAAACCGGGTATCGAAACTCGGCAGTCAGACTTTGGAGAAACACGCCGTTGCAATACGGTAGCCTTCCAGTCTGTGTGCGGTGATGGTTTACCTCACGATGCCTACATTCCAGTAGACATTTCTATCGTACTTTCAGGTGTACTGGCCCTTCCCAAGATAGCATAGCACCCAGGCCACAAGGGAAGAGGCTAGTCGATTCTCAAGGAAGTCGTAAAATGAGCGGCGCTTGCATAAAATCTATCATTCACGGACCAATCAATAAGCATTCACCGGTAAAATTGAGATTAGATTGCGCAGCTTAACCTGGATCATTCCGCTTCATCTTTACGAAGTGCATACTGCGGTCGAAAATAAGGGCTACATTTGCGAACGTCAAGTTGCTATCTGTGAAATTCTGCAGTTATCATACAGGGCCCACTGCCAGGCGAAGAACGTGCCAAACCCTCTGAATAGGCGGCGTTATTTTGTCTGTTTACTCACTCTCACTCTATCCAGTGTGAATAACCTTGAAGGTGCGCTTTGTACTCCAACCAGCATAGCTCTCGAGGTCATTGTGGCACGTGAGTGAGAAGAAACATAGCCAGGATTTCCAGTGGTCGTACT